CCCCTGGGGGGGAGGAGAGGGGGGGCGCGAAGAACTGAACTGCAGCAGCTGCAGACCTGGCAGTCCCCGGGGTCTCTCTGCTGTCTCAGGAAAGACGGGGTTCTGGGGGCAGAACCAACAGGGACCACCAGGCATGCCCCCACCTCCCCATCTGGTACCTCCACTCTGATTGGTCAGTGCCTGAGCCGTGCTGGTTGGTTAATGTTTGGAGGATGCCCTCAGGGAGGGCCTGCGCCAGGCTGTCACCTGTGCCAAGGAAAACGTACACAGGTTAGGCCCTGGTTCTGTGTGGAAGACAAGCTCCATCTGCCCTCCGGAAGGCAGGCGGGGGGCGGGGGAGCCTTAAGGGATAGGGCGCCCCATCTCAGATGCTCCCAGGCCAGGCTGATGTCTGAGTTGAGGGAAAATGTGGGGTTTGCTCTTGAGAAGGCCAAAGACCCATTTTTTAGGGCAGTGTGTAGGCAGCGCCTACAGGACCCCACCCTCAGCCAGGTCTGCGTGGCCGCAGGGCCTCTGCCTCCCCGCTGGCTCCGGGGGCAGGCCCAGGCTGCCTCCCACACCGCTGGTCCCACCATCATGAGGTGCTCTTCTGTCTTCACACTCCTCTTCGTAAGGGAAGCTTCCAGAGACCCTACGGCTTCCCCCACAGCTTTACCCAGAGGCAGCCTCTACAACGGGCCCGGGACCCCACTGGCGGGCCAGGCCAACAGCCATTGTCCCCCTCCGCCTCCGCCAGGACCTGAGGCCCACGTACCAAACTCCCCAGTGCACTGCATCACCCCTGACTCCCCTTCCCTCTGCAAAACCCCAGTGATGGTGCAGCCAGTAGTGGTGGAGCCCTCGGTGGGCCACCTCCAGCCTGTGTAACCCCACAAGCGCCCCCGAGGCAGGAGTTCCAAGGCCCTGTGCCCAGAGCTGGATTGCGACCCGCACTCTAACACGGCCACCCTGCGGCCAGAACCGACCCTTCCGAATCCCTCCTTCGCTGCCTCCCTTGGGGGGCCTGGTGGGGGCAGCTGCACGCCCAGGAGAGGCCCCTCCCATTGAAAGTCCTCCCAGGACCTGAAGTCTTCACTGTCTAGACCAGCGGTTCTCAACCTGTGGGTCGCGACCCCTTTGGCGGTCGAATGACCCTTTCACAGGGGTCGTCTAAATGCATCCTGCATATCAGATACTGACATGACGATTCATAACAGTAGCAACATGACAGTTACGAAGTAGCCATGAAATAATTTTATGGTTGGGTCACAACATGAGGAACTGTATCTAAAGGGCCGCGGCATTAGGCAGGTTGAGAACTGCTGGTCTAGACTCTCCTCTCACTTCCCCTCCCCACGGGCTGGGCCAACCCTTGCCGCTCATCCCGTGGCCGCATCGTTCGCCCCCACGGCTCCGACCATCCCTCTGGGATGGCCACTGGCTTCCTCTCCTGCCCACGCCCAGGTTCCCAGCCGGCTGGCGGACATCTGCCCACAGCGCTGAGCTAACACCCAGTATGTCCGAGTCCTTGGAGAAGGGGGGCAGAGCAAGGCCTGAAAGGGGGGTGCCGTTTCACATGGGAGGCTCCTGCAATAAGAACGCAGGAACTCCTCAATCCTTTAAATGGGAAACACCTGCTTCCCCCAGGAATGGGGGAGTGGGGAGGGTGTGCAGTGGTTTGGAGGCTTGGGGCGAATCTGGCTGAACAGCTTTTGTTATCTTACTTTTTGAACGACACGAGTGTTTTTCCTCTTTGAACCACTCATCACTGAAATAGGGAAGAATGCTGTCTTTTGGAAAAGGTTAATCACTTTCATGGCACTGCTCCCTTGAAGGGGGCCTATTTGCATGTCTGCCACCTGCGGCCTGAACGCTGCAGGTTTGGAACCTCCAGGCTCTGAGGCCAAGGTCGGAGCCACAGGGCAGCCCCCGGGGCGTGAGCACTGACAGGACACACGCTGGTGCACTCAGCTGCAACGACCACAGTAGTGAGAGGATTGGAGGCTGAAGGCCAGGATTTCGCTGGGAGCCGACCCCCCCTGGGAGCCCATCCCCGCACCCTCATGTCTCCATTACTTAAGGGGCTCACGGCCACCTTCAGGCGCCGTCCCTGCTGCATCCTCTTTGGAAAGCCATGGACAGAGACCACACTCAGGAAACTGCCGAGGGCTGGTCCCTAACACAGGACTCGGCCAGCAGCCTGGTGTTACTTATGGTCCTGGGCCCAGAGAGGGCCTCTCCAGGGTGGCTGTGTAGAGGCGGTGGGGGGGCTGGCTCCTCCCTGGCAGAGGCCTGAATAACAGGAACTTGAGAATCAGGATACTCTGACCTCATCCCCAATGTGACCAGCACAGGGCCATGACCAGCCCAGGCGGCGTGGGGGTAATTAGTGCGCTGTACGGGCCGAAGGCGTGTGTCCCCCCGGATCCACTTGCTCAAGTCTAATCCTCAAGGTGAAGGCGCTTGGAGATGGGACTTAGGGAAGTGACGGGGTTTGGGTGAGGTCATGGGTGGAGCCCCCATGATGGGACTGGTGCCTTTACTGGGGACAGAGGTTCCTACCTCCGCCATCAGCTATGAAACAAGCAGCAGGGTCCCCAGGACACTGCATCTGTCGGCACCTTGACCTTGGTCAGCCTGCAGCACTGAGAAATGTCTGTTGTTTAAGCCTCCCAGCCGGCGGTACTTTTGCGATGGCCGTTTGAACTGAGACAGGCTGCTGGGAGCACTTGATGGGGTCGGCTGGGGGCGGGAAATGTATTATCCGTTAAATGTGCCACAGAACACGGTCCAGGCTCCACAATCGGAGCACTGAGACCAGGGTAGGAAGCAGAGCCTCCCCACCTTCACTGCCTGCACCTGGGCTGGTGCCCACAGGCACTCAGAAACTGCACACCGACGGGTTTTTAGACTTTGATCGGTGGCAGGAGCGCTGAGAACCTAGAACCCAGAATTCAGCACCACTTTAGGAAATGCTGCGTACGCCGTCCAGGGCCAAGGACTCCCACCTTCAGACCCGGCCCAGTTCCATAACGGACATCCCTCAGCAGCAGGACCTACCCCTCGCCAACATCAGGCCCACGAGGGTTTCTCTTCACTCATAAAACGTTTATGACTTTGCGACAGTGGGCAAGAAAGCTCACTGGACTTGCAGGCAACCTCCAGTAGTCAATGAGCAACGACCGTGACTTGCCCAACGGGATCGAGTTTTCCAATCACAAAGCTGGGCTGAAGTGTGCGCCATCTTAGGGGCGGTGTGCGGGGTGCTGCTGGTGCCCACTGGTGGAATCTACAGGACCAGCCAAGGGCCTGTGGGAACCACTGGTTTCCAGCAGCAAAACCTCTGAAGACTATCCCAGGGTCGCCAGGACACTGCTTCCTGCTGTTAACGCGTTAAACCCAAACAAATCCAGAAAAGGGACCTGGCCATAGCCAGTTTGGCTCAGTGGGTAGACTGTTGGCCTGTGGACCAAAAGGTCCCGGGTTTGATTCCGGTCAAGGGCATATACCTTGGCTATAGGCTCCTCCTCAGCCCAGGCTTTGGTTGGGCTTGTGCAAGAAGCAGCTAATCGATGTGTTTCTCTCACATCAATGTTTCTCTCGGTCTTTCCATCTCTCTAAAAATATCTTCGGGTGAGGATTAAAAAAATAAAATAAAAAAAGGACCTGGCTCTCCCTCTGTGACACTCAACACATCAAACCCCCCTGGCTTCTGTTTCCTCATCACTTCAACGCGGCACAGCGGGCCTGCCAGCTCCCACTCCACGATGCTGCCCACGGCCACTTCAGAAAACCAGGCCCGTTTTTAATGTTTGTGAGAAGCTACTTAACCTCTGTGAGACTGTTCCCTTATCTATAAGAAAAAAGATAAACTTGGGAGAAGCCATCGTGAGCAGTAGAAAAGTAAAAGACTTTGGCCGGCTCGATTCGTAGCTCTGTGTGACCTAGAGCTGGTTACCTGGCCTCTCTGAGTCCCACTGTCTTCACCCGGAAAGCGGAGATGTCTGCCGTAAGGACCGGGGAAGGATCCTGCTCAGCCACGTCCCAGCAGGCGCAAAATAAACACCGGTGTCCTCCCTTTGTTCCTATTTCACACTCGGCGAACGAACGAATAAACGAACGAACGGGAGAGAAAGGGATGTGATCATGCTAAAATGTCTGTAAAAATATTAAACCCTTCAAAACCAGATATCGCCGCCTACATTCCCCTGTTCTGACGTAAGAGGGCTTCTGACTAACACAGCCCACCTCTGAGGTTACCAGAGAGGATCTGAAAGACAGAGGACCATGGGCCACGGGAACCACCATCCAAAGAGGGAAGAGGCCCTGGCCGGGGAGCTCAGTTGGTTACACCATCATCCTAACATGCCAGGGTTGCGGTTTTGATCCCCAGTCAGGGCACATACAAGAATCAACCAATGAATGCCTACACGGGTGGCAGGACAGCAAATCAATGTTCCCCTCTCTCTTTCTCTTCTCTCTCCCGCTTCTGCACACTCTCTCTTTCTCTCAAAAATCAATTTTAAAAAATTAGAAAAAAATTAAGAGGGAAGAGACGTGGTCTGGACACATGGCCCTGCTGCGCACCATCTCTCAGGGCGCTGTGACAGCATCAGGAGGCCTGAGGAACCAGTCTGGGTCCCCCGGCCAGTGGGCGCCATGACGGTGCGGTGAGCTCTGTAATCTCAAGGCAGCTCTACACCGTCCCTGAGACCTGAGGCCCTGCAGGAGCGACGGCACTCCTCCGAGGAGCCGTTTTAGCTCTGAATGAACCGAGGGAAGGGCTCCGAGCACAGGTCCGTGTACAGGTCCCCAAAGCCAGCTCTGCGAGAACGTCGCCTGCGGGAACAAGGTGTGCCATACAGAGCTCAGGGAGGACCCTCGTACATGGGGTGGAAGATGCTGCCGCCACCAGTCTCAGCCAGCCACTTCCCGTGCCCCCACCCTGGCCCCGGCCCAGGCTCCCATGCTCCAGCTGGTTCGGATGGCCGTGGGTTTCCCGTCCGGAGAAAGACTCATCATTCATAACACAGCGACAGACCCGTCTGCTCCTCGTGAGGACAATGTATTTTAAACCCAGAAAGAGTCGTAACTCTGAGATGCTCCATACACTGCCTTCAGCTTCTACAGACACAAAACTGCTCCCCTTTGACGGGGGACGCCTCTGGCTGGGCTGGAGAGGTGCTGTGTGGGGGTGCTCCCCCAGACAGGCCCAGGGTCTGGTCTGTGCGGGCAGAGCCGGGACGATGGCAGGGGCGACGTACTCTGCAGGAGGGTAACCAGAAAGCGTGGCCGGGAAAGGACCCTGGGCTGACAAGCTAGCAGAGCCAGCAGGCCCTTGGCTGCCACTCACCACATCCCAGAGCTGAAGGGCAGCCCTTTGCCAGCCGTGGCACCGCACCGGCAAAAGCACATGCGACTGGACCAGACGCCTCATGCTGCTAAGGAAGAAAACTCCAGTCGGACAAGGTCCTAGTGGGGGTCCTGGGAAGCGGGTGGGCCTCTCAATACAACCCCAAACCCTGGGAACGGCTGCATGTGGGAGGGAGAGGGGGCGAGTGACTTGGACACACTGATCCCCTGACTAGGGGAGCCAGGGCCCCCTCACATCTGCAGTGGCCACGTGCGTCGGAGACCGGCACATGAGAACTGAGCACTCCACAGCGACACAGGCTCCCCTCCCGCTCCCCGGCAGCGCGTCAGGTCCGAGGTTGTCTCCCGGGCGCAGGTGGGTTCTGTCGTGGGACTGGCTTGGCTCTGCTGGTCTCAAGGCCTCCAGTTCAGCCGAGCCTTCACCCCTCAGACGAACTGGGACAGGTTGGGGACTTTGATGTTGAGGTCACCGATGTTGATGTTCCGAGGGATCTCGGGCAGGTTCATGTTTTTCACAGCGGACACGGCCCGGGCGGGGGCTGCCGAGAGGCCGCCCTGGGGAGAAACGAGAGGTGGGAATGAGACAAACCCTCGGTGCCGTGGACTTAATGCGCAGAAAACCCAGTGACGGAGGTCTCAACAATGTCCAGCCCGGCCCAGCCCGGCCGGTGTGGCTCAGTGGTTGAGTGTTGACCCATGAATTAGGAGGTCAGTTTGATTCCAGGTCTGGGCACATGCCCGGGATGCGGGCTCAACCCCCAGTGTGGGGTGTGCAGGAGGCAGCCGATCAATGATTCTCTCTCATCACTGATGTTTCTCTCCCTCCCTCTCTGAAATCAATATATCCTATCTAATAAAGATGGAATATCCTAATTGACTGCCCTGCCCTCAAAGATGGTGGTGCCCACAGCCACAAGATGGCTGGCAGGGGAGGGCACAGCCCCGCCAGGGCTGCAGGCATGCGGCAAGGTGGGCCCGGCTTTGCCGCACACCTGCCTCTGGAGTCCCCAGTCTCCTCAGCCCCCCAGATGACGCCCCCCATCAGTGCACAAATTTCATGCACTGGGCCTCTAGTGTGTGTGTGTGTGTGTGTGTGTATACATTTTTAAATGTCCAGCCTGAGCACACACAAGGCAAGCTTCGCCTCCCCCCGTCCTCAAAGCCAGCCAACAAAACAGTCTTCAGGTGACTTGGGCTATGGTAATAGGGGTCCAACCCTGAGCCCCTGAAGGCTGTCGCTTAGGTAGCTTCACAGCCCCAGCACCTCACATGCCTGGCCCACGGTCGGTGCCCGATAAATGCTTGCGGAAATAATCCAAGATGGTTTCACTAAGTCACGCTCAGTAGCGGGCACTTTTCAGGTTACAAAACAAAGCAAAACCCTTTCCTCAGGAGACCGAGGACTCTTATAAACAAGTGCAGTCACGGGGACATCTTTAAAAGGAAAACGAATGTCACCGCTTCAGGCACCTGCTTGCCAACTAAGAATGTGAGATGGAAAAGAACAGGCTTTCGCAACGTCACGGGCAGCCAGATGGGAGGAAGGACCAGCGGGAGGTCAGTGGACCCACACCCGCAGGGACTGGTCACAGACCCAAGCAGTCAAGGCACCTACGGTCACCTTCACCCTCCAGGCTCTCGCCTGCTGCGCAGAGAGGAGGGGAGGAGACGGACAACGACTCAAAACCATTTCCTCCTCCTCGTCTGCCTTTCTAGATCCTGAGGCCCATTTCACCCTCGGTTCCGCCCTCGCCCCGCAAGTCTCCGCTTCTTCTGGTTCCCGGCCCGCTCGCCTCTGAGTCACTCACTATTCCTGGAACCGTCCCAGCCTGCGTTTCTAGAACTACGGCGGCCACAATAGCTGTGGTCTGGAAAAGCTTTCTCAGCAGGACGGCCAGTCCTCACAGAAACAAGAATTCCTAGTTTCGCAAGATCAAATTCTGTTACCCAAAGCAAGGAAGCTGCCTCCGACATGGGGGAGATTAAAGCGGTCATTTGCCCCGCAATTTCGCAGCATGTGAAGGTGGGCCCCTGCCAGGCGGATGAAGGTGATGGAGGGGTCCAGTGGGGACAGGACAGACTTCCTGGGAGCATCTGCACCACGTGGGGGTGGACTGGGGCATGTTACTTTCAAACCCAGCTCAATCGCTCCTGTAGCTTGTTATAAGGCTGTCACTGTAAATGTGGACATTGGCGACTCTGAGGTCCGAAAGACACTGCGAGAAATGGCTGCTGGGAGATCAGATTCATCTGGCACACAAACTAGGAAACCCCACTGCAATTGGAGAACAGGTGCTGGGCCCTGAATGTGTGGTTTTGAGAGGAAGAATTACAAGCCACAAACATAGGCCACAGCCCCCTGCAGCTGCTTGCCTTCCGGTGCTATCTGGCTTTTCCATGCACATTTTTTTGCCTCCTTCTTACCTGGCCTTCAAATCAATGAGCTTTCATGGACTCAAGGAAGAAAGGAGTGGCTGAAACCGGTTTGGCTCAGTGGATAGAGCGTCGGCCTGCGGACTGAAGGGTCCCGGGTTCGATTCCGGTCAAGGGCATGTTCCTGGGTTGCGGGCACATCCCCAGTGGGAGATGTGCAGGAGGCAGCTAATCGATGTTTCTCTCTCATTGATGTTTCTAACTCTCTCTATCTCTCTCCCTTCCTCTCTGTAAAAAAGCAATAAAAAATATATATATATAAAAAAAGAAAGGAGTGTAAAACATTCCCAAGGCACAAACGGACCAAGACAGCTGTGCACTCACCTCCGATTTCTCCAGCCTGTTCTGAGCTTCGATCTGAGCCACGATTTCATTCATGTTTGTTTCCAACACCATCCCTCCCATCACCACCTCCTGCAGGATGTAGTGTACCTAGAGGGGGAGCAGAAATGAGAAGGGTCAGACCACCCTGGGAAGCCTCGCGGGCGCTCCTGCAGCGTCAGGGCCGTGGGACAGGACGCCGGCCCCTGAACAGACACAAAGCCCCTGGGTCATCCACCTCTCAAAGGAGGCCACAGGGGTTTCCCTCGTGCGCACACGTCACACACGAATCTCCCAGGAGCAGGGGTAGAGGTGCCTGGCCACACTCAAGGCAGGGAGGCGGTGCTGAGAGCACGGGCTCTGAGGTGGGGCAGACCCTGGTTAAATTCCGCTCTGTTGTTAGCTTGTGAACTTGGGCACGCTAGCCTTTCTTTTTTTGTTTTTTAAAATATATTTTATTGATTTCTACAGAGAGGGCGGGAGAGGGATAGAGAGTTAGAAACATCAATGAGAGAGAAACATTGATCAGCCGCAACATCGATAGAGCCCGCAACCAAGATACATGCCCTTGATCGGACGTGAACCCGGGACCCTTCAGTCCACAGGCCGACACTATCCACTGAGCCAAACCGGTCAGGGCCACACTATCCTTTCAATGCTTCCGGGATGGTGGCAAAGACTGAACAGGATAACCTGGTGCCCACACACAGTGGAACCTAAATAGATAATGACGGCGTTCATTACATTATCATCATTCATCGGCACCCATCCATAGATGAGTGGATAAACAAAATATGGCATATTCATACAATGGACTATAATTCAGCCTTAGAAAGGAAGAAAATTCTCACACCTGCTACAACATGGATGAACCTTAAAGACATGAAGCTGAGTGAAATAAGCCAGACACCAAAGGACAAACAGGGTATGACTCCATTTCTATGAGGTACCTAGTGGTCAAAATCATGGAGGCAGAAGTAGAATGTGGCTGCCAGGGGCTGGGGGAAGCAGGGCATGGGGGGGTGCTGTTTGATGGGCAGAGTTTCAGTTTTGCAGGATGAAAAGAGTTCTCAGATGGATGCACAAGACAGCGAATGCACCTAACACTGATGAGCTGCACTTGGAAACGAAGACGGTAAACTTCACGTTGGGTAAATTTCACCACAATAAAAAATAACAGGTCTCCACACCTATCCTCGTAGCATTAATCTGTTTGTTTAGCACACTGTCTTCACGGAGAAGCAGTACCCGCGGAACATCCACTACCTGCTGAGCACTGTATATGCGACTTATTTTATTTTTTTAAAGTATCTTCTATTTTTATTATTATTATTTTTTAATCCTCACTCGAGGTTATTTTTCCATTGATTTTTAGAGAGAGTGGAAGAGAGAGGGAAAGACAGAGAGAAACATCAATATGAGAGAACAACATCGACTGGTTGCCTCCTGCAGGAGCCCAAACCAGGACCCAGGCCAGGGAGGAGCCTACAACCAAGGTACGTGCCCTTGACGGGAATCGAACCCGGGACCCTTTGGTCCGCAGGCCGACGCTCTATCCACTGAACCGAACCGGCTAGGGCAATATGCAACTTATTTTAATATCACAACATCCACCCAAGACAGGTAATGCAATCTTCATTTTACAGACGAGAAAACAGACACATGGAAACCTCCCAGTATCACGTGTATTCGCAGCAGAACTGAGCGCTGAATCTAGGCAGCCTGGCCGCAGAGCTCACGGTCTACCCTTCCCACCACACTTCCTCGAAATCCCAAACGCCTTCCCTCTGCTCATCCCTCGTCCACATGGAATCGCTTAAGACTTGCCTGTGCTGTGCCAAGGATCTTGTAGGAATCTTTCCACGCTTTATCCCCAAGGCCCGAACTGTGCCCCGGGCAGAGCAGGCGCACTGAGTGATAGGCCTTTTGCAAGTCTGAGCAGCGTATTCCTTGTGCTTAGAAGGCGGGTGGCAGTGTGGGGAGGCTTCATGGAGAAGGTATGATAGGCCTAATAGAGGACCAGCCGTTGGCTAACAGACAACAGCAGTTAAGACTTCTGAATTGAACACTGCATCATGAACTCGTAACTTTTAAATGCTATTCAAAATGTATCAGTGCAAAGTGCAAAAAGGAGAAATAAATAAAAATGCAACCTCCATTTTCAACACTAGGAAGAAGTCCAGGCCCCCCAAACGCTGTCAAGAGCAGGGAGCTCAATGCAAGGGCTCCTCTCCTTCAGAGCACGAAAGGGTGAGAGGATGTTACGGAGAGAGAACACAGGCTGGGTAGCTTGGAGAAACGGCACAAATCCACTTCCTGGAGGTAGGGGGCACATCCTCTGGGCGCAAACAGATTCCTCGTTTTTGGACGACAGAACTTCCTTGGAGCTGGAGCTGAGGTGAAACGAGAAACCACACATACAAGCTCTGTTTGCCTCCCAGAGCTGGTCTCTGCAGCTGCAGAAAGGACAAGCGTGCACTGTGGGCAAGCGCACGGTGCCTGCCTGCTGGCTGGAGAGAACGCAGGTAAGGGAACTCACCCAGAATCCCACACCGTGAGAACTGCCGCGAGCCGGGAACACAGACTTGACACCTCCCCAACCAAGCATTCTGCAAACAGCCGGCCCCTGAAAACTCACCTACTTAAAGACGAGTTATAAAAAAGGACTTATATAAAGACTCACAAGAACCAATGAGGAAGGAAACAGGAAAGCAAAGAGGCAGACTCACGCTACACCTTGGGAAAACACTGCCGCGGGGCAGATAAAATTGTCATAAAATATTTTGCAAAATTAAAAAAAGAAAACTCTGAAGCAAGAGCTCAAAGCAGAGGTGCAAGCAAGAGCTTATGGGATAAGCAGGGAGGTAAGAAGACGCCTACCCGCACAGCTCAGAAAAACGTGCAGAAATGAAGGTGGACGTGCAGGAAAGACAGGGAGGAGAGCTGCTGCTAGCACAGTAAGGAGGGAAAAAGGAGAGCAATGAAAAACAGCAAGTAAACTGAAACAAACAAAGAAAAAATAGTTGAAAGGAACAGAGAGAAAACAAGTTACAGAAGACAGCTAAGGAGACGCAACACATGCCTGAAACTAAAATGGACAAATATACAGCGACTTGTTCATAAAGATTCCATAAACATACACTGACGTGTTCATAAAGATTCCATAAACATACACTGACGTGTTCATAAAGATTCCATAAACATACAGTGACTTGTTCATAAAGATTCCATAAAGATGGACCTGAGGGCGTAGCTGGGATACGAGAGGAGCTACATGCCAAAAGGACGCCGTGGGTCCCAGGGAAAACTGGCCCTCCACAGGCAGCGCCAGACCTTGTGGGCAAGACGACTGGACTTCCGCAACCGGGCAAGAGATCAAATCACTGAGAGGGGCAGTATCTGCCCTGGCTGGGTGGCTCAGTCGGTTGGAGCATCATCCCACACTCCAAAAGGCTGTGGGTTTGAATCCCGGTCAGGGCACATGTAAGAGGCAACTGATAGATGTTTCTCTCTCACATCGATGATTTTTTTTTCCTCTCTCTCTCAATCAATCAATCAATCAATCAATAAACATATCCCCAGTATATCCCTGGTGAGGATAAAAAAAAGGGGAGGGGGCAAATCTTGAAAATTTCCACAGTAAAATTCTAGCAGAAAAAGGAGCAAAACCTACAAAATGCCCGAGGAGAAAAAGTATGAGCAGAGCATTTTATACTGTGTTGATCATCAACCAAGAGTGATACAGCGGGAACCACTGCTCCCGCGGGTTTTTCTGGAGGGTCTACAGGACGCACTTCTGGCAAGTGAGGGGTGACTGGAAAATTGCCGGCAGCAGGACGGGTGGTGAGCAGTGAGTCCACATGCTGGTAGGACTCAGACTAAAGGCGATGAGAGTGATGACAGAATGTCAGTGCTGGGCCCTGACAAGGCACCAACATTAGGAAGACACAGGGGAGAACAGGAGGGCAGTAGATAGAATAACAGTAACGATTCCCCATCCTCAATGGCTGAGAGCCGATGGATAGCACTTAAAACCAACAACTCATGTTATAAAGAAACGGGCATGCCCTAACCGGTTTGGCTCAGTGGATAGAGCGTCGGCCTGAGGACTCAAGGGTCACAGGGTCAATTCCGGTCAAGGGCATGTACCTTGGTTGCGGGCACATCCCCAGTATGGTGTGTGCAGGAGGCATCTGATGGATGTTTCTCTCTCATGGATGTTTCTAACTCTCTATCCCTCTCCCTTCCTCTCTGTAAAAAAATCAATAAAATACATTTAAAAAAAGGAAAAAAAATAGAAACGGGCATTATGACTTTTATTGTGACTTCCCTCACGTCCAAGCCCACAATCATTTGCTATGAACAGTATTTTCAGAGCCACTGAACTTTTGATTTAGGGCCAACAGGACCTTTTTGTCTGACGTGTTCTATGCTATTTTTCTTGCATAACATTCACCCGTAATGCATCCCCTACAATTTCCAGTTTCCCTGAACATGGAGAACTCAGAGTCCAGTGAAGCATTCAGTACCCCTTGTAAGTTTTTTAGGCCCCCACCTCTCATCTTTTTTTAAAAAAATTTTTATTGACTTCAGAGAGGACGGGAGAGGGGGAGAGAGATGAAAGCATCAATGCTGAGAGAGAATCACGGATCGGCTGCCTCCTGCACGCCCCCTACTGGGGATCGAGCCCGCAACCCTGGCATGTGCCCTTGACTGGAATTGAACCCGGGACCCTTTAGTCCGCAGGCCGATGCTCTGTCCACTGAGCCAAACCAGCTCAGGCCCATCCCTCATCTTCAAGGTTCCTTGTCCAAACCTAATTCCGCGTCATTGCCTTTTCCAGGGACCTGGCCTTGCCAGAGCGCTCACCTGTTTTCATGGGACAAATTCTCGTTTCTCACGCATGGCTTACCTGGCTGTTACTGAGTGTATGACATGATTACAATACCAGTGTAAGTGGCATCAACAGGTCTGAACACGTCAGTCACACTGACCTTGGGTGGACACAGTCTCTCGTGATGTAAATAAGCAAGGTCAAGCCACTAGGGGACAGCTGCCCAGCGGCCTGTGCCCACCTGACAAGTCGGGGAGAGGGTAAGGCCCACTGAACG